CMKMTKWYTTYYTTYTTTYTTTTTAACCTTTATTTTATTTGTTTATTTATTTATTTTTTATGTGATACCTGGGAATGGAACTCAGTGCCTTGAGCATGCTAGGCAAGTGCTCTACCACTGAGCCACAACCCCGCCCCCATCATTTCTACTTTCTTTCTTTTAATGTGTGTGTGTAGGGGGTGGGGGGATGGTCCCTGTACATGGATATCTGATGGTTCTAGCACCTTGAATTGAAAAGACTGCTTCTTCACATTACTCTGGAATACCAAGCTGTCATAAAGGATTCACCACATGGAGAATCTGTTAAGGATCTGGTCTTTCATTTCTGTCCCATTAGTCTATTTGTATGTGTGCCAGTAGGACACTGCTTTTTAAATAAGTCTTGGGATCTGGTAGATCAAGTCTTTCTATTTTTCAAGAACATTTCACTTGATCTTGCTCCTTTATACTTAATACATTTTAGAATCATCTTGTCAAGTCCTGAGAGAGAAAAAACAATCTGTTGATATTTTTGACTGGGATTACATGGAGTCTTATAACATGGCTTTGGGTAGAACCACCTCCCTAACCCAATCCAGGAAACTGTATAGCAGATGAAGATTTATCTTTATACCCAACACTGAAAKCTAATCTGCTTTAAATACGTGGATGTTAAAAGACGACTCAAAATCTCCCCAACCCTTTCCCCCAGAATTTCAACTCCTACAAATATCAGTTTATTTCCCTTTCTACTCCTAGGATGACAGCTCTAAAACAGAATGCCACATTACAGTTACCTTAGGTCCAGAATTGTACTTGATCCAAGCCCTCAGGAGGAGATCAAAAGATCTGCAGCTCTGAGGATACGAAAAATATCACGACATAACTGAGAACAAATGTCATCTGACCACTCAAAATCACAAACAAACACACACTAGGCCTTCAAATAACTAACTCTTTAAATCACAATTTACAAACAGTTTCTAGTTGAGAATTGAGGGAGGGAGGGAGGGAGGGGGGAGGGAAGGAGAGAGAAACACATGTACTCATAGTACATCTTAGTGAAGCCTCCTCCAGTACCTAGGGACCTTAACCAGCTCTGGGTTCCTGATATGGGAATAAGCAAAAGAGTTTTCAGTGCAGTAAAAAATGATTAATGAGCTTTAAGGCTGATGGATGAAGAGAGAAAGCAAAGCAGAAAAATAAACTCTGAACTTAATAAATGGAAGGGAAAAAAAATACCATCCAGAAATACTTGACCTAGGAAAAAGAGGAACTGTTTATGGTAATGTAAAGGGTTATGAAGACCAGGAATATTAAGCTGAAAAAAAAAAAGAATCTGAATATTTCCCCATAAATTCCTCCATGGTCAAACTAAGAAATTATTCCCCAGGAGAAATGGAGAAAACAAATTCTTGAGAAAACTAGAAAAGAAAAGCACTAGAGGAGAGACTGTGGGAAAAAAGAATTTTGACCAGTGGGAATGGGCTAGACATGATCTAATCCATCTTTTCCATTCTCTAGTTTCTGAGATTCTATACATCGGGGCAGAGGGAATGATATGATCAAGAAATAAGAACAACAAGAAATGTTTTGTTCAATTTTCAAGGAGCTATTAAAAAAAATACAGCCTCTAAATGGGAACTGGATTCCTGGTCTTAAAAATATACACAGAGCATCCTGCTCTTCCACCGTGAGTTTATGTTCCCCTCTGTTCCCCTGCAAGAGTCAGCGGGCAGCCTGCCGGCATGGCAGGGGAGATACGCCTGGTACCATGAGATCACAGCGTTGGAATGTAGAGTTTGGGAGGTGGGAGGATGGGGGTTCTGTGTTCAAAAGCACTGGAGCTGGAGAAGAATGAAAATGAATGCACAGCTTCCCCGTGGACCGGGGCAAACCGCAAAGAAAACAGCTTCAAGACGAGCCTACAGGAGCTCACTCACCCATGGGGCAGGCAGGAGCACCAGCCTACAATTCCACCAGGCTGGGCAGAGGAGCAAAAGTGAGCATTTTTACAAATCAGGTCTTCAGTTTTATTCAAGGCACAGTTCCTTAACAAATGCCATTTGCAACCAATGCATCCATTGGCTTGTTTTTCAGCACTACCATTGGCACTTGATATATTCCAGAACAGAGAATGGATTTTCAAATCAGAGGTAGAACAGATTTACCAATTTCACAAACACAAAAAAATTTATAATTTTCTTTTTGAGAGAGAGAGAGAATTTTTARTATTTWTTTTTTTAGTGTTTGGTGGAAACAACATCTTTATTTTATTTTTATGTGGTGCTGAGGATCAAACCCAGCACCCKGCGCATGACAGGCAAGTGCGCTACTGCTTGAGCCACATCCCCAGCCCTATAATTTTCTTAATTTCAGTGACTACTCAAAATTAATTGAAAAGTTCTAAGCTATTAAGTATGGCAAAGGACAATGCTTGTGATTCACTTGAGAGTTTCTGCCTTTAATCYCAAATAGAAAACATTAAAAGTAGGCTGTAAAACACTCAACTTCAGTATGGTTGTGGAAAACAAAAATTTCAACCAAAGGTTTCAAGACTCCTTAAAAAGTCCTGCTATGCGAGGCAAGGTGGCCCATGCCTGTAATCCCAGCAG